AGCTCACAAACATCTACGTAGCTGCCTCCTCCCTGGCTGCTCAAGGCTACCAGCTCTGCGATGTGGTGAACTCCACGTTCTGCCCAAACCTCTGCTGGTTGTTCGGTCCCGCTCCCGTGAAAACAGCTACGGAAGCATGCTCCAAAGTCCACAAAGTAGTTCGGGCATTCGTCATGTAAAACGAGATCGTTCTCTGTGGCGTGTGCAAATTGTGACTCAATACCCACGGGCGTCATATCTTCACCGCAGTCATCATGATGTTGTTCAACCACCTTGCGTCGGGGTTGTGCAACGTGTCCCGCGGCCTTTTGCGCCTTCTGTCGGATTGCGTTCTCAGTTGGGAATGCCAGCTGCTCATGTTTGTCCTCTTTCTCCCCTCCCGATGGCTTGGGCTGATCAGCATACTGATCTAACAGCGGTCTCCCGGACGTGTGTCCAGCATACCCCAGCCGTCCGCCATCAGAAGAAGAGGGAGCGACAAACACTTGTGCAGGTCCGACATTACCAACCAAGTCCTTCCAGTGCTGGCAAGTCTTGAGGTGATCCGTGCTGTCGTTGTCATTGCTAAACTCAGGTTGCCTGCTGATAGGTCTGGCTCCGGCACCCACCATGGATGCTGCCACTAGCAGGTACATGGCCAACTTGGCCATCACTCCACGCTCTCTTGCATGCTTCTGCTGCGCATGCATTCTCTTTTGATGCACATGTTGAGTGCCCTTCGGACATCGGCACTTGGCTTGTGAGGTCACCGGGAAGTTTGTGACCACCTTCACTATGGAATTGCATGGGTCCATGCTGCCAAGGCTGTCATGGTCTTCCAGCCTGCACCACAAATGTTCGGAAACGAACATCTGCTCAGCTGCCTCCCGCATAGGTTGCAGTGACCACACCTGGCTGTTGTTATTTGCTTCCATGATCACCAAGCGTTGAGCGGCTGCTTGGCTTCTCATCAACCGGCAAAGATGTTCTGTCCGGTGGATGTCCAGCTTGTTGCCAGATCCAGCGTGTGGTCCTGCAAGGCGTATCCACATTACGTGTGGGGCAGTCTCATGCAGTTGGCTCATAACCTCCGCCTGACGCTGTGAGTGAAGGTCATGGAAAAAATTGAATTGTCTTCATACCAAAACTTTGCAGCATCTGCTGCCTCATCCCATTCCGGTCACTGAAAACCCAAGCCACCTTGTCAGCAAGGAAATGCCTCATCTGGTGACCCAAGGTTTCAGTGAGAGCGCTCTTCTGAAGCGCTCCATTCTCCGGTCAGTTGGTCTTCGCCGGCTCCACGACGCGCCTGCAGCCCATCGCGAAGTCCAACTCCTTGCTGCTCTTGAGTCCACCGCGCTCCAGGCCAGGAGGCTCGCGCGGCTTGATCGGGAGAATGAAGTGACCACTGTCCGCCAACTCGAGGGCGAACACCTTGGTGCCGGGCGAAACCTTCATCTGAACTCCACCTTCTCCGGGAAGTATGAGGGTGCCCGAGGCGCAGTCCAAAATGGCTCGATGCTTGCGCAGCGCCTTGTTGCCCAGCAAAGGCGGCAGATTGCTTCCGCCGATCACCGGCGCCGTGTAGGAGCTGTCCATCAAGCCCCCACTCGTTGCCTCCAATGCCATCTATCTTGGCAGACATGACAGACCTTTGGCTGTTCTGGCCAACTCCTTCCACATCAAGTGCACGGTTCAGCTTCTGGTTGTGGATCTGGCTGTTGACCTGGGAGGCCATCTGCAACATCGTACCTTCGCCAACTAGGTTGTCATGAGCTCCCGGATCGATAAGCAAACCGACCTCACCGTTGCGAATTCTGGTGCGCAAGTGGTAAGTCTGATGCGTGGCCTGTTTGCTTTGGCCACTCTCCCACCACGGAAACACTGAGCTCCGTCCATCATCACCGCTAGCACTTCCACCGCCACGTCGATCCAGTCCAAGCAGCAGCTTCGTCAAGCCAGCAGTGTTCTGCTGCCTGAGGTCCTCATCTTCCTTCTCGGGCTCTCGCACCTGCACCGTGCTCAGATCTGGGGCTCGTCCAGGTGGAGGATGAAGAGGATCTCGGGCGCCTTCCACCAACGGGTAGATCTCTGGGTCCTGAAGGCTGGTAGTGCTGTCGTCCTTCGCGAGGTCGAAGTGTTCCGCTTCTTCCGCCGGTGTTGATGGGCGCTCCCATGACGCTGAGGTTGCCCCCGGAGACCATGTCGGTGCCGGGGGAGTTCCATCCCGTGCCTGTCGTACTCGTCGAGGTGTGCTGACCACTGAGCTCTGCTCTGGCCGCTTACGGCTAGCAGCATAGCTCACCTCGCTGCCGGCCTGGGACACACTCCTCAGCTTGTCCAGCTCCAAGTTGACGAAACTGGTGCTCGAAACCGTGGATCTGGCCTGGGTGTGGAAAGCCACGCCCGGGAGCAAACCACCGCTGCTCCAGCTCCTGGGATCCATCATGGTGAGAGCCAAGGTTGGCCGCTTCTCAGCGGCATGCATGTGTCCTTGTCCACCTCCATTAGGCATCGGACACTTCTTGATGAGGTGCTCGTCGGACCCGCATCTGTGGCACTTCATGATCATGCCATCCTTATTCTTCGGGTTCTTCCTGGAGAAGCCACCGGATTTGCCCTTACCATGGCCAATCCTTCCACCACCGCCAGACTTGCCCTTGCCGCCGGCGAAAGCTCCTGGAGGAAGAAAACTAGCATAGCTTCGCTTGTTGCGGTACCTCCGAGGTCCCTTCTGGGCAAATCGCCGCCACCTCTTTCGAGCGAAGACATAGGCCTGGTAAGTCATGTTGGCCTCCGGGTCATCCAGGGGCGCCTCGTCGTCCGTGCTGGCGTTGGTGCTGTTACCATCATCATCATTCCAAGCCGCATAGCTGCCGCACATCGGACAGCCATTCTGATCACCTCCAGCTGCTCCAGGGAAGTTACCTATGTTGGGATCCATATGGTAGTTCCCGGTTGTCCTGTAGCCGCCCCACGGATCACCGCCTCCTCCGGGTAGCCAAGGATCATTGGCTCCGCCTGGTCCATCAAACGTGGGGTATGCCAGGTAGTTGCCGGGGTCACCATTGGCTCCAGCTGGTTGATACCGCCCTTCTCGCACATGGCCTGATCTCCTAATTTTTTGAATCAGGGCATTGAACTGGCCTTCGTCTTGTGGAAGAGCACCATGAAGGGAGCAAGGAGCCGTTCCCATCCGTCTGGGTTGATCTGCAGCGCTTGGAGCAACAGCCATGACAGTCCACTGTGCCCCAGACCTCGTAGCGGACCAAGACACCGTCCACTGTCTCTCCAGGCATCCGCCTGAAGCCCAGAAACTCGATGATGGCCTTAGTACTGTTCTCGGCATCCAGGGGCGCGTACCTCCGAGCAAGTACCGTGACCAGCAGCATGAGGCCCGTGAGGTGTTGACCAGTGAGTTGATCTACGTCTCCGTCTCGGAGCTGTTGTGGCGTGATCTCCCTCACGAGCTCCTTGGCCGAGCCCTGCACTTGCAATGCTGCCACCGGGCCCTACCTCCTGGGGTCGATCTCCGTGGCGCTGCTCCAGAGAACGAGGTCGCTCACCCAGCTCCTGAAGGAGTAGTGGTGATTGCGTTCCACGCTCCAGGCTGGTGGCACCTTGAGCGTAGCCGTACCCACAAACGGGGGACCGGCATCCCCCACGGGAGCAAAGCTCCTGGGTCCGTGAGGTCCGTGTCGTCCACCTTCACGCGGGCGAAACACATTCTGCATGCAGGCCACCATACTGAGCACGAGGACACCACAGTGCAGCGGCCAGAACCATCGTAGCTTCTGCTGCCACCAATCTGGTTCTCCATGAAGCCGCCGTGTCCTGCTCCGTGTTCGCGATCTCGATCTCGACCGCGTGCATGGTCCTGCAGAACCGCTCGATGGCACCAGCTGATCCGCGGTGCGCTCCTCAGACTCCGAATTCTCGACGTTGCCCTCGTCGTCCACCTCGACCTGTTGGTCCTCCTCCGCAATCTCTCGGTTGGGCCTCCGGCGATCCCAGAAGCATGTCATGCCCGTCCAGGTGTAGGGCATGATCCTGCGCTCATCCAGCCGCCAGTTATCCACCACGATGTGTCGAGCTTCATGACGGGGAACAACATGAGTGGTCCTCTCATCTTCCAGCTCGTGCACCGCGATGCCTGGCGGGATTGGCCCCCCTTCGTTCGGGAGGAAGAACTCCGTCCGCAGCCGCACATGAATGCGGCATGGTCTCACACCTTGTTGGCTGAATGAGACCTCCCAGTAGTCGGCCACGTCTTCGGCTGAAGGCATGGCCAAAGCTGTCGGGACGGTCTCGCCGTCCAGCACCTTGGCGGGCTCCAGGTCGTGGGTGACGTTGGGCATCTGCACATCGTGCAGTTCATCCTCCTTGGCCAGGTGGATGATCTCCGTCATCAGGCTCATTGCCAGCAGCAGCATCACCACGTAGATGCAGCTGCAAAAGCACCATCTCATCATACTGCAGCGGCAGCAACAGCTTGCCAACTTGGCGATGCTGTTGCATCTGCTGCTGCAAGCAGGTCCTCCTGGAGCACCTGCTCCGCTACCAACTCGAACTCACCCAAGCGAAGCGGCCTCCCCATCGCAGCACCGCCCTTTCTTCCGGCAGCGCCCATGGCTGGGCGAGTCATCTCAAGGTAGGCCCGAGGGGCCTGTACAGAAAAGTGTTCTTGGGCCTGCAGGCTCCGGGGAAATACCGCTAAACTAAATGTTCAGGACCCGGCTCACCCTGGCAATCTGGTATCTGGCAAATTCCTAAACCAGAAATAGGGAACTTTCATGAATGAGCTGGTTCTCCCAAACAAGCTCGTGTAACTTGCCCAGATGTTCTGACGGATGATGGACGACAAATAGCCACCTTACCCCTAATTGATCGCCTGGTTTGGTGGATTGGTGGTTGCCACTTTGGTTGCAAAAGGAGCTAGCGCTCAAATCCCCAAACCACCAATGGGGGACCAACCCTCACAGAGGCACGGCAAACAAAAACCCTTGGCTTAAGTCGGTGGCCCGCTCGGAGCGAAGCAAAAGATCACCTGGCCAGCGTGGTCGTCTCACATATATAGGTCAGGTTTCTTCACCACACGGTTACGACAAATAAGCCCCCTAAACTGGGTTGATAGCATTGCCCATTGGGCAATTTTAAAATCATTGCCAGCAAGCAACATCTCCCCATACGCAAGCTATCCAAACACAAACAGGGCAAACAAACCACAAAATGCCCCTAGTCCCAAGTTAGGCCTTCAGCTAACTTCTAGATTCAGCCAGGTTCGCGCGACTCCCAGCTCCAGCTTCTGGAGGCGAATCTACCGAGTTTACAACGAAAGGCCGGGCAAAGTGAAGCTGAGATTCACCTTTCGAGGCAATGACTGAAAGTTGAAAGTGGATCAAAACAAGACCTTAAACAGCAGGTGACAAGGTCGACCTGACTGACAAAATGTTGATCGCACCGCGAAACGAAGAGCCAGTCTGGTCGAGAATGCCCAAGGATTGCACCCTCTCCCGGTGCGTGTCGCGAACGTCCGGAGCCAAACACTCAACCCGAGTCGGAGCGTCAGAAATTGGATCCTTTGGACCAGCTCAAAGCTTTGTCATGTATCTATCTTTGCTCCTTGAATATCGCAGGGGAAACTGTGGTAGGGATGCGTGTAGTATTTACCACAATTTACCAGGGTTGGATGCGGTTTGTTCATGTGCAGTACTTGCTGTGTGGTGATTTGTGGTGCTGGGGCGTGGTAGGGGTACAAGCCGGCCCACGCGCTGGGTGGTGCTGGGGCGGTTGGGGCCGGGCTGAGGTAATGCTGGTGCACCCGCGTGATTGGTGGGGATGGTGCGGGGTTGGGGCAGGGTTGAAGTGGCCGCTTGATTGCACGGGCTTCTGCAGAATCCTTTGTGCCGGACTCTTGGTGACCAAGATGAAAAATCATGGACCACAATGCACATATTTACTGTCCCATGTATGATGGTGAGATGCAGCTTGTGCACCACCTATGATAAGGTCGTTAAAAAGCTTACTGAAGGATCCACGCTTGAGGCAGGGAACCGCAGTGAAAGTGGCATACCATTTTGGCTCTTGCATGCCATTCAAAAGCATAAAGTCCTTTAGTATCTTTACACTGCAACGTGTTCACATTCCGATTGCATACGTGGCTCAAAAAGGAAAAGGTCCGAGATGGTCCCAGTGCTTGCAAGGGATGAATATGAACGTCCTATCTGCCTGTCTGCTACTGAATAAATTGTATTGCGGCGTGCTCTTATATACTTGAATTGACACTGGCAACGCATCCATGGAGTCCGTGAAATTGCAACCATCTGGCATTCTCCTGTTTCTACAAACCAACAAACTGTCCTTGATGCATTTTGCTCGATTCAAGAGTGGCATTTGTGCCACAAATTCATATTTAGTAGAAGGGGCAACTTGCTTGGTTCTGATGGCACATCTGCGGCATTCTGCAACGCAACACACATATTGATATGGCAGCAACGAGGAGTGACTCGTGACCACTCAGCATACGGCTTGCATTCTGCACGAAAAGGACCCGTTGAAAAGCGCCAAGCTACAGACGGCACTGAGGCAACTTTGCCTCCACACAAGAGCTGCGGAAACCTGTGATTTTCGGTTCGAAATGCTAAACACCGGTCCTATTCACAAAACCTTAAAGGGCAAAAATCCCAACTCTGAACAGCAAAAGGTTCAGGGAATCCAGCAAAGAACTTCCACGTCGGATGGCCTCGTCTTCGGAGAGCTCGGAAAACAGCCACTTGCCCGTGTGGGGTCGTGGTGCAGGCGCGCACCTTGGCTTAGGGCGCAATCCGCTTCCTGCACTCGGCACTGCCCCGTAGGGCCATAGGGCCGCACAAATTTGGATTGCCTCGTGGTTTCCCTAAGCAACATGAAAAGAGCAACCTCGAAAAACACACGCCCCTGTGCCCAAAATGTTTTGACAGAAGCCCCGAAAACATCCTGGCCGCAAAAACAAAGGACATCCACCAAGTATACCGGGCATGGCTTTCACACCTTCGAACTCCGAGCTACCCATCCCGAGCTTTCAGCCAATCCCATGTAAGCTGCATGGACCTTCTGGGCCTCTGCACCGTCCAAGCCAAATCCTTCCAAGCTGCCGTCTATTTTCTCTCCATACCTCCCAACAGTCTGGAGAAAATTCATATATGTACTCTCCATACCTCTATATACTGGTAACTACTTGTCCACCTTTATTCCTACCTCCCAACATCCTTTCGATTTGCCTCTCATTCACTCGCCCGGACGATTAAAAACACGTTGATGTTCCTGAAACCTGGGGAACATCAAACGCAAGGCTGGCAAGAAACTGTACTTGTATAGGAGGTATCTGGACTTCAACTTCCCTCGGTTCAAGCCCCCACTGACTCTCAGTCCAGTTGCTGGGGCCATCCGTGACCACCCAGTTAGGATTTTGCCGAATTCGCAAGGGGCTACAAAAGAACAAGGTCTCATCTGATTGACCTCAAGTGCACGCAATCCATGTAAAAACAAAAAACTCTACTCAATGACTACTTTCCTGGCGTGGCACCTTACTTGCGACTCGAAACGCTCAGGCGACGCTCAGGACCCAGCGGGGGCTCCAAGTAACTCCCTTGCCGAACAGGTCGGAAGAAGAGCCTCGTGGCAGTCTGCCTGGCGAGTCCCTTCGAACATTTTCGTCGCTGAAAAAACACGCCGTGACATCGAGAGCTACCAGGCTGCTTCACCTAAAAGGAGAGAACATGACAGGAAAAGTCGACGCTCCAGGGAGACGTGAGAACACCGGATAGCGGAAAGTGGAGCATGAGGGACCATGACGCCTTCGCCCATACACGTGCTTATTACAGCTACAAGGGTTGTCACCTTAACACCACCTGACCAATTTGTTGACAGCACCATCACCCAAACATCCTACCTCCATTGAGCACCCAGCCAGTCAGAGGATGAAGAAGCAAGTTTGAGCGCCCTCTTGCTCAAATACAGTTGTCCGAAATACCAAGTGTCAATGGCATATGGATGCATGGGCTTGAGAAGGCTTATGTACCATTGGAAGGACTGGTTTGATATGAGCCACGGCCAAACTTACATGCTTGTTCCCTGTAGAGGAAATGGGACAAATAATTACTGAGCCCCCTCCATTTTCGAGGTGGATTTCGTGTTCCCCAAGCCTCTTGCAAAGAAACGTATTTCGACCAAGCCTCCGACGTGAATTCTATGGCCTTTCATTTGGTTGCCACATTGTTGCCACGCGGGCTAGAAAGGCCGATTCGGTGAGGCACTCGCCCGAACTTGGTTCAGCCCAGGTAATCGTGTCTCAGCGGGTCACAGCAATGCTGGCATCTGGCGCAAAAAGTGACTGAAGCATATGCAGCTTCAAACTGACGCACATTGACCTCTGTGTGGTGTGTAAATGTTGTTTCCGTACCCAAACCAGGGTTGAAGAAAGACCCTTCCGAGCTAATTCCGACACTTCAACAACACCCTCCCTTCGGCACAGGTAGCTCAAATTCGCGGTGTCCAATGACAATACCATGAGACACGGAATCTTGAACTGGTTGCAGCTGAAAGCGCTGAAGGGCTGTTTGCAGCATAGCTAACTCACCTGATATTCCGGCATGCGCCCTTTGCAAAAGCCGGTCTCACTGAGAAAATTCCCCAGACCAATCTTCCTAGTGCATTCTTCTTCCCAAAAGGCAATGGACAAATCCAGAAACCGACTAGGCAACGGTTAGGCTCCGTATGCGCGCCTCAGTGGCGTTTCGGCCGAAGGAGCGACGGGCTCCCCAAAGGTGGGTGCCTGCGAGGCGAGTTTTGGGCGGCGCCTTCGAGAGAAGTACAGTGCAGTCATGCCAAGTCCATGAACACGCCTTGTGCAAAGCAGAAATCCAATAGACCCACAGCACCCCATGCACCCCTGCTTGCTCACAGGCCAAGACTTACTCCGTGGGCCGGTGCAAAGCAATGGCTCCCCGTCGGGCAAAAACGCCGTGCTAGACGTTCCGTCCGGAATTTGTGGATCTGGATCTGGCCGTTGACCAAGCCCAGTTTCCATTGTTGTGAGAAGCGAGATGCGAGCCAGTGAAGGCAAATACAGCCCCCAAGTCGGGTTGTTGTCCCAAAACAAGTCGAAGCCATAATACCAATCTGTTTGGGATCCTGCCCCGCCAAAACCCTTCAGACCCGTGTTTGGGCAAGGTTGTGCCTCGCTGGGTGGTTTTCAGCATCGCCTTGTGGCAAGATTCCAAGTGAGTTTGGCTCTGGTGATGTTTGATGCCGGGAAGTCTGACTTGCCTGAGGCATCAAAACTACCTCAGCTTCTCTGCCGAGTATTCAGTGAACCTTGTGATGCTAATGAGCTCTACCCCTCGCCTCGGTCTCTGCCCAAGCAGCCCGTGAGGCAGCCGGTGGCGACGCGCAAAGCCCCGGAGACTGCGATCGAACTGGGAAGCACGGCGAGCGATGGAGCCACGGGATCCTGACGAGGACCATTTTCATCCCATCAAAAGATCGCAAAGGCGGGCTTGGATGTAATGGAAACCACGCTTTAAGCAAAGCTGACAGCGCTGGTGTGCGATCGGCTGCCCTTGATAAAAGCGGTGCGATTGGGAATCAAAAGAACCTGCCCCCCCCCCCCCCGCGGCCCAACGTGGAAGCCTCACACCAGATTCCTGGGGCATCTTGCACGGCTCTTGCCAATGTAAGGAACATCTACAAAGTGCCTTGACCAAGTACGATAATACGATATTGGTGCGTGACGGCTGTACGCCAGCCCGTGTTTCACTCGTGAGGCCCGTGAGGCGCCCGACTCGGTAGCAAATTTGTTTCAAAAGGTTGGCAGCCCATTCTTGAACGCACCCAAAAAGAAAGCTTTTTTAAGAGTTCGACGTGTGTATGGGAACCAAAGGCGAATGATTGCACCCAGGGCAAGGTCACCCTTTTCCATGATTCGCCGATCCGAAGTGCTGATGAAACTCCAGTCTTGTCTGCGCCTGAGCTGGATAGCACGCACGGCAAAAATGGCTGAAGGGCCAACCAGTGGCAACGGTCCTCTCACCCATTTGACATGGCACATGACAAAGGGTTCGCTATGGCCCTCTCGCAAAAGAATCATGCCATTCACAGGTCTTTCTTTTGCTGATTCACCCGTGCCTCCCAATCGCACTCTCCGGCACACACCTTCAAATCTGGATCGTCTGCATGAACGCAGGAACAGTAAACGATGGGAACTGCAGGTTGGGTAGAAAAAACCCAAATGCCTGAGATGTGCCCAGTCACAAAAATGCCCCCAGCATGCAAACACAGGCGCTCTGACGCAGGCAATAGTGCCACAGGGAGCTCCCTGTATTCCAGATTCAGACCTAACTTGCGACGCTGCGATCGGTTGCCGAAGCAGCTGCCACAAGAATAATTGGACACTCCTCTCGATCGGCCATTGAACAGAAACCGGTACGCAAACCTACTAGTGACTAGAGCGCAGTGAGAAGAGCAAGGCGTGTGTGGCTAGTGCTACGATACTTTGCCCGCATTTTTTGATGGTGTCAAAAGAAAGGAACGCGGAATAATTATTTGAGGGGTCAGTCATTTTGATCTTGAGACAGGCATAGGCGCGCCAGCCATCAGAAACCATCAAGTCGAGCCAACTTGGCTCAACGGGCCAAGGCTCACTGGGTGCGAGGTGCCAGCGCGGGTAAGCCTTGGCTGCGAGAAGTTGCCTTGCAAGCATGTTGGGACCAAAGTACTCCCCACAGAATAACATGGAGGCCCCTCAAAAAACACACAAACAACAAACAAATGTAGAGGAAACTTGTTTTGGGGGACCCCCTTTTGGGTTCAATGATATTTTGTAGAGGGGGAACCTTCGCAACCGATAGCGCCCAAAAACCGATGTCCGGGTAGACGAATGCACCTACCTCGCATGGGAAAGCTGGCCATTGCACAACGGAACTGGGGCCGAAGCCCTGGTTCATCCTGGCCTCTCAAGTAAAGCGAAAAGCCATGTTCAAGCGGCCTTTTCTGGCCAGGACCTACAGCAAACCTTAGCGTGTCTGTGGCAGGTCCAATGAAAATATGTGACATGATGGTCCCTTTCATCTAGTCTTGTTGGATTTGAACTTTTGTTTGAGATAGTATTGGTGGAGCTTTGGGATGTTGATTGGAGGTTCCATTTGATGTGTGTAGCATGTTTACTTTGCACAGAGCCCACATGTTTTCTGATTACTTTTGGAGCTCGTTTCGAAAATCTGAGTCTGCGCAGCAGCATTTCGTGGAAGTTTCAACAGTTTGCTGCTGGAGAGCTGCAGCTGAGACAAAAATTGAGCCGCTACAACTGACTTAAACTGAAACTCCCTTTGGCTTGGCATTGCGCCAGTATTGATTCTAGTGCTTGTGCTGTTTGCTGCTAAAGCTTGCCAAACGGAAAGGACAATTTCACCTAGGGCATTCATTAATCTTTGCGGAGCCGGGGAGAACACTTCTCTGCGCCTTGGCCAATCCCAGGACATTCGGACGACTGGGTGCCCTGCAGAGATCTCAGGCAGCATTTTGCACAAGCTCCAGCAATGCAAAAACAATTGAAGCAAATATGGGCCAAGCAATACCAAGACAATCTGATTTGTTTGATTGGGAATTGCTCCTGGGTCTCTATTGTGTGGAGTTGATGCTGTTTTGATCGTAAGAGAAGCCTTCACACTGAATCGCCGCATGGTAGTTTTGAGCACATGGATGGGGTCAAAGATTCCCTAACTTCTCCTGATGCGCCAAAGAAACATTGCCCATCTGGAAACTCACATGGCATCACTCCAGGTAAGAATTGCGCCTTACCACTTTCCAAGCTGGACATACTTTAGTTTGCTATCGCCAGGGCCCCCAGGCCAAGGGCCGGACTTACCAGCCAAAGCGGCAACAAATTGTCAGGACGGAGAAATCTTTGGGCAAACCCATTTCGAGCGGGAGCGGACCTGAAGTGCACTGCAGCCTGGCCACTGTTGCTTCTTCCCGGCTTCATGCATTGGTAGATGTGACCTCAGCTTTTGACAAGCCCGAACCTGCGGAGAAGGGACCGCCGGCTTTGAGAAGCCCGTGACGAGACTCCCCACACCTCCCCACACCACGGAAAGGCCAAGGTGCAAAGTGCAGCTTCCGTGGACTCTGCCACTGACTGAATCACAGCTCCATCTCTGGCCGTAAGGACTGCCAAAACCCACCCGTCAAGACTGATGATAGGCAGTTTCGCTGCAGTTGAAACCGGCATTCAGCCTCTGACCCTTTCAAACTTGGATTAGTCGACACGTGGTGGCATACCCAAGCCATAAGCCAACCATGAAAGTAGGAGATTGCTCGCAAAGCAGCGGTTGCCACTATTTCATGTTTTTGTTTTTTGCGCAAGGTCAATCAACAGTGGATTCGGAACTCACTTTGCGGATTCGCGCAGTGGAATTTGAAGCGGGAATCGCCAATTGGGATTAGGAAACTGAACAAAACCAACCAGAGAAGCCTGATTCGGCAACTGGAAAACGGGATCTGCCAAGACAACGCAGCCAATCAAAAGGGCCGTCTCTCACCTATTCAAAACTGGGACTGTCAACCGTCATCTTCGTCTCAAATGAACCTTGGGTTGATCCTTCTGACGCGGTCAAGTAATCCCCGCCATTCAAGGCGGCCCCCGCAAAGTCCAAGGTCGCTGCTGTACTGTCCTGGCGTGAGCCGCAAGGTGTCAAAATGGCAGGCTGGCAAGTCAAAGACAAAACTTTTCCGCTTTCTTGGTTGGTCATAGGATTATTCACCCGGTCATTTGGGAGTGGTAGGGTCCTTCCCCAGAACGTCAACATTTTCCTCACGGCCAGTAATGCAAATTAAAGGGCTCGATTGGAAAGACATAATCGTAAATGCAAGCTGTGAAATTGCAGCCGCGAAAGCTGGCGAGTCGCCCGTTTGCCGTGACACGTGCAACTAACCGAAAAAGAACCCTTGAGGTCGTGACAGAGCAGCACCCAACTCACAGAGCCCACCATTCAGCCAACCATGGGCCAATTGATCACCAGGGCCCTTTTGTGGGTCTTCAGCCGGCCCTGGAAAACCGAAAGCTATTTTACATTTCTCCATCCCTTTGTGGTCTCCTTCGCGCAGGATCAACAAGTATTCGCCATTCTGTGGACATCTGGCAAACTTAAAAGGGGCTGACAGTTGGCCCTTGGAGCAGGAAACCACCATCAATAGACAAATATCTACACCGTTGTGCTTTGCTCATTGCTTCATTACCGTTCAACCCCAAACCTTCGGGGGAATTCCAAATCATTCATCGTTTTCGCCAAGGGCAAAGGCGTCTCACGTCAACGATGTGTCAACAACTCTGGGACCGCCTGCAGCCCAGCACCGCGTGCCCTTTCGCACCGCACGCTCCTTGGCTTCCCGAAGCTCCGAAGCGACAGGCCCGCGAAACGCGGGCGGGTTCTTGGGGCCTGTCCCAGGAATTTGGCGAAGAATCCAGGCCAAGCAGTCAAGCAGTCAACGCCAACGTCAACGCCTGTCCCAGGAAACAAAGCAGCCAACGCCAACAGGTGAGGCCAATGGAGTTCTGTTAAAACGAACACAGGAAGGGCCAGAAAGTGGTGCGCCTTTGGCTCCCCTAGCTCCAAGACAGGTACCAGATCACATGCCCATCGGTCGGAACAAATGGGCTCTAGGGCGCAAGGTGCCCATACAAATATGTCGAAACAAGGCCCCCAGTGGCTATGGGAAACAAGGCCCCCTTTGTTTGCAGTTGATTTTGAAGGGACACTTTCCACACAAGAAAAGCGGAAACGGGGCGCCACTGGGGGTTGGGATGTGGTGCAAGCTGGACTCCCTGTTCCCTGTGTTAGAGCCAGTGTCTCCTTTTGCGGGCAAGCCCGCCAGCCATCAAGAAGCATTCATTCACCCAAAATATTACAGGGCTACGATGAACAATACAAGCATAGGCAAAACTTGAGAGCGAAGTCGGGGGCCTCACATCTACGGGAAAGCAACAAAGAACAAATGCTTAATTATCATACATATCATACATATCTATTTAAGTATATGAGGCCGCGGCAAAACCTCAATTGAAATGGGCTGCATATGTGTTTTCTTATCGGTTTTGCGTCAAAGTTTATCGTTTTACGCATTAGATGTATGTTCAACCTTATCGTTTTTTTGCACCTCATCGTTTTACCGGGGTTCGCGCATTTTTGGACCATCAGCTCTCATGGTGGCTTCAAGGGCTTTCTTCGTCGGACTCACGAGCAGCAAGCTCCTTCCATGCTTTTCGTTTGCGTTTGCTTGCTTCAATTTGTTTGGCTAGCCTGCGCTCATCAACTGCAATAATGTGTTCCAACGTAGAGTCCAAGACATGTTCCAACGTAAAAGACAAGTATGCTGTCCATGGCCGGGAGACATCAAAGGGAAAGCTAGGG